CCCTGCGTAACCCTCTAATGGGTAGATACGCTTGCACTGCCAAAAATAATGCCCCGGTCGAAAAGACCCCGGTTTATAAATCTTCCCCTTTCTGTCGTAAGATTGGATGGAATCCCCATTATTTGATTAAGTGCCTACACTAAAATTTTGGGCACGCTAAAAATTTTATCGAAAATTTTATTTTTTCTTTGTAAAAGTATTTGTAGATATGTAGTAGGTATGTATGTATGTACGTATATACGTTGTTTTCATATAAATATTACAACTTTTTGGAGACATTACTTGTATAGGCCTGAGGGTTTAGTGTCGTAGTGGCCCGGAGGTTTAAGACGCCCGCTTCTCATGCATGAGAGTGCGGATTCGAAACCTACCAACGGCAAGTACCAATGTGACTTTTTCCGAGTTATAAGTACTTTCTAAGATTATTCAGACACCACTGACAAACGGTGAAGGAAAACATCGTGAGGAAACCTGGGCTTATAATTTCCAATTATAAGTTTGTAATCGCAAACCCGCATTAAGCAAGCGTGGTGAGGAATGCTCAAACCTTTTCCGTGTGAGAAGAAGCTTTGCTCAGCAGTGGGCATTTATAGGCTGTTGATGAATGATGATGAATCGAAACGAGAATGCGTTCGGCGCCTTGATTGGTTAGTTCATTGGCACCGGCCAATCACAGCGCCGAACGTGTACTCGTTTCGAAAACTTTAAACGTACCTAAATCAAACTCGTACTAAAGCCTCTGAATACGCAAATAATTAGCTAGAGACGCTCATAGTTACAGTTACAAAATACTAATTGAAACACCCATTTTCCGCCAATTAAGTTTTGAACCTTATACAGTCAACAATAAGCTTATAATTACAACCGACAACTTTTCCAGGCTCCGTGCTACTAATGTACTTACCTACAGAACATTTTCAAAGATGATTTTTTACATTAAGTTAAACCGCAATAACGCATTGGGGATAAAACTTGTAATCAGAGTGTAGGAACATTAAAAAAGATCTCGTAGGTATTGAAAAAAAAAAGTTTTTGCCCAACCCAGTAGTCAACACTAGTCAAACCCGTTAAACATTTCAGGCATTTTGTTTGCAATTAAAATTTAATTATTTATTACTTAAATTACACCTGTACATTTTGTTAAAGTCTGTTATTTAACAAATACCTGTAGGCATTTTGTTAAAGTCAGTTATTTAACATACCTGTAGACATTTTTAAAGTCTAATTTATTTAACAAATACCTGTAGACATTTTGTTAAAGTCTGTTATTTAACAAATACCTGTAGACATTAAAAGTATTTTGTTAAGTAACACTTAAAAATAAATGTTAGCCTCTATTAATAATAAGCATACGACGTTACTATCAATACCTATGGCCCTATAGGTATTATTTTCATGCATTAAAATATTAATGAAACAGCTTGCTGTTTAATTTTTATGAGTATAGCGGTACCGTTATAAAAATAGTTATAAATAGTTATAACGGGATATTTATTCTAACATTATGATTCTTAAAAGCCCTTAAAGTTTATAGCATAGGGTGTTTAAAGTAATTCGGTCGCATTTTAGTCCGCAATATTTTTGATAGACTTTTCCGATAAAATCTAGACTATAAAAACTAACTTTGTTATGTTCTTATAATTATGGGTTTATAACATAACTGGGTATAGGTCGGTTTTTTTTTATATATTTAATGGGCTGACGTTTGGCCACCATCTCGCCTGGTGGTAAGTGATGATGCGATAATTTTAAAACATAATAAGAAATGTTAAAAATACAGGATTTACAAAGTTATAGCCTCTTTGATACGTACAAAAATGCCTTCGATGTGGTTTTTAGTGGGATTTTGAAAACTAAGAAAATCTTCATTCCACGGTTGAATTAATAGGTACTTTTAATGGCAGTGAATACAGAAAATAAAAATCTTTCCAAAATACTTGTAGAAAATACCATACATTATTATTTATGCCTTAACACATTAAACGCCATGGGGGTCACCGGTGACCGACGTTAGCGGAGGATTTACCTTCTACAGTTTTCTATTGGCAGTCCATGGTCAACAAAATGATTAATAATTTTGATATCAAATTCATGAATTTTCACTAGAACACAACTCACTGTCCCCAATCTTAAGTTACCTTGATATGAATTTTGAATGTAAGACAGTCGTACAAAAACCTTGAGTTCGTTAAAATATTGACTCATTGGAAGTTGCGAATACCTAGCTTTGTAAGTACGTGTTGGGCTAAACATATTTGGTCTATTGTAGATATAAGAAAAAAAATACAAAAAAAAATCTTCCTCAAGCTCTTTGCAAAAAATGTTAGGAAGGCGAATTGAGTGGAATATATTTTAGATAGACTGCCTCGTTGGCCGAGTGGTCGCAAGTGCGACTGCCGGGCAAGGGGTCTCGGGTTCGATTCCCGGGTAGGGCAAAGTATTATTGGGTTTTTAAAAATCTCAGTAGTAGAACGAAGTCTGGAAATGTAATGAGTAAATACAGCAATATTGCACAATGAAAATATGTTTGTCTTAAAAAATACCTCAAGACTATCTGTATACACAATTACAGGTAAACACAGCATGCATATAGGTAGCTTTTTAACTTACATTAATATAAAAAGATAATAAAAATTTGGATAAATTTAGTATAAATTAAAAATAAAAATAAAAATTAAAAACATTTTATAAAAAAAATTGTTGTAAATAATTGTATAAAACAAATTATTTTGTTTACGACCAGGTATTAGTAGGTATTCCTACTAATGATATTTCAGAAAGTAATCGGATGTTTGAATCGGAATTTTGTTTATATTTTAAAATCAAAATTTCATGTAGTTTTCATGATAGGTACTGATCATTTTGGTTATTCACTCCTAACGTTAAATAAACTTCGAAAATTATATTTCTTGTTTAGTTTTAAATTTTTAATATAACATCTACCTATAAATTATTATGTATCACCTGCATAACAGACTAATATTTTATTCATAAAATTACGTAATAAATATGTAAAAACAAACATATTTCCAAAATAACACAGATCTGCTTTTGAACAGAAAAAAGAAATAATAACAATAGGTAAATCCAACATAAATAAAATTTATGAAACATTTATTTATGTCACAAAAATTAATCTGACATAAATAAAATAAAAACCTATAACCGTACAACGTGAACCCACGCGACGTTGCCGGTTGATAATTTGGAATCATTGTCACCTTTCTCTTATAGCTGATCGGATCCGAACCGGTATGAAACCGGGTGTCGCACGCACGCCACCTATGGTCACTAACTAATTAGATTAACACTTTACTGTGCTAACAATGTGCTGGGAATTTTGTAATTTTAGGACGTAAACATTTAACAAAGAAGTACTTAATACAGGTATCTAAATTGTACTTTTTTATTGAGCATAACATCACGCCTTTTATCCCCGAAGGGGTAGGCAGAGGTGTACATTAAGGCACTTAATGCCACTGTACAATGTAACACCCACTTTTCACTATTTATATTATGAGTCCCATGTAATAAGGTGTTGCCATATACCGAGCACAATTCCAGACTCCGTGCTACTACTGAGATTTTTTGAAAAAGCCCATTAATACTTTGCACGACCCGGGAATCGAACCCGAGACCCCTTGCCCGGCAGTCGCAATTGCGACCACTCGGCCAACGAGGCAGTGAGTTTTATTGAGCTAATTTTTGTTTGGTTATTTTTTATGGAATAGGAGGCAAACGAGTAGACGGATCACCTGATGGTAAGCGATCAGCGCCGCCCATGCACACCCACAACACCAGAGGAGTCAGGTGCGTTGCCGGCGTTTTAAAAGGGAATAGGTACGCTCTTTTCTTGAAGGTTTGATTGAAGGTCGTATCGGTTCGGAAATACTGCTGACAACGGTTTTTTTCTTTTGGTAGAATTTGCCCTAACAACTGCATATGCAAAGATACCTAATAAAACCTAGGTCTAATACTCTGTATAAGTATAATATATTTTTGAAACTCTTATTTTTCTTTGTTTTGGCTCATTAATCTTATTTTATTTTATTTTAGGTACATAATTATATGGTTCTATTGTACCATACCAAAAAAAAAGTAAGTATCTAAATAGAAAATGACATATGTTATTACTTAGAGTTGTTTCTTATCTTATTTTAGGGTAAATCTGCATAATATTTATTTACCTAGGTTCTAATAACAAATTATCATCAATCAACAATCACTTTCGCCTGGTACCTATCTTATTTTTGAAATTTTTCTTTTTTGTATTTTGGTATAGGCATTGCCATAACTAAGTGAAGTTTAAAACCTAGTCCTATAGTACCTCGTTTTTTTAAGTGAAGTTTAAAACCTAGTCCTATAGTATTTAACCCGTCGAGCGTCCGCGTTCCTTATGATCCAACGGGTGCACACGTGACATTCGGAGCATTTTTTCTTATGATCCACCTTGTGCTCATGGGGTTAACGTAGGTAAAACGAGTACTTAGGTAATAATTGAGAAAACTGTATAAGTAACATTAACAGAACAAAGTTTAGTACAAAGGTTGATTTGGAGACAATACCTAAGTCATTAAGTCCACCTGTATAGTTATTATATTAAGTTAATTTAAACAAACATTTAGTTAATTGGTGATTGCAAAAAATCTAGATTTTTTTTTCATTTATCCCACTTTGTAGCCGTAGATTATCGGCAATCATGTTGATAGATTTTTGTTTATTGTGTTGCTTAGATATTGAATGACAAAATTAAAGAAATAATAACTCTAAGAAGTCCTACAGTCCTTATAAAATACTGGACAAGTATGGATAGGTAAGTACCTAGATGAATTAAAATGAAACGGTTGAAAATTATACTCACTGATAGGCTATCAGTCGGTACTCAACCAAGTATAATGGTTTGAAAATCTACAGCTAGGTATACTAAAACAACAACAAATAGGTAACCAGACAATATTTTGACGCAATCAGATTAAATTTTAGTATAAAATGGTACTCACTGGGCATCATTTCGACGTGTGACGAGGTGTCCATGATATTGTGATGGTGCATCATGTCGGGTGGGGACTGGACCAGTCCACCACCTCCCCCACTGGCCATCACCATCACTGACGCAGTTATATCGTCACCGGTGATCACCTTTAATACTTTTAACTAATGATCCCTTACAAAACCGCTTACACCCGTATTTTTTATTTCGACTGTATTTTTTTCTATTTTTTCCTACAAACAGCTCGCGTTGTGCTTCAAAAACTGGATCCAGTTGTTTATTTATTGCAATGACATCACACTGTATGAATATAAATGTGTTTTACCAAAGTCTACTATGTTACACTCGAATAAAGTTCCTTTTCAAACACTATAGTCTATCACAAACGGAATACACCAAAATGTTGTTTTAGGCTTAAATAAAAATTCCACTAATTACTGTTAGGCACTTCGACATTTTATTTCTACAAAAAAAAATTGTTCGTTTTGTCACGCACGTCGTGTCCCCGCGCCGGCCAAGCCCACACTGCCGTATTATATCTATAATTCTATGGATCGACTCGAAAGCGCATGAGCAGACCGTCCTTCCCTCCCATTGGTGGGATCGTAGAACGCCTATTGGCAACGAGCGCGCTGATTGGCAGATAGCTTCCCATTTTCCCGCCCAAATCGACGGTGCCCTTACAAAATGGCGCTCCCTACAGCCTTTTGATGCTTTTTTGAACATTTTATTCGGTAAAAAATAATCCGGTTCGGATATAATGAGCATGATTTATGATTTTGATCCGTCGACTCGGTATGTTTTTTTTGTACTTTTTTTATAATCTTGCCATGTTAATCTTTGGTGTTTCGTGTTTTGTTTTTGATTAATCGCGAACCAATTTTTATTTGATCCGGACTGTGTATAAGGTATTATTTATGTCTTGCTTTCGTTGTTCGCTGAATTTTAAGTGAGCGTCATTACGGGCCAGATTTTATGGGACTTTGGATACTTACCTAAGTTTATAGATTGTGTGGTGCCGTAGTTAGGCGCGACCTATTTGATGGGAGGTGCGTTTTATTGATCGCGTTTGGAGTTTCTGTGTCAGATGGGGATGAGACAGGGGCGGATCAGCTGGTCGTCAGCGAATAATTTAATAGATTGCGTTCAAATAGAAGAGTAGCTTTTGTTTTCACTTGCGGTTGCTATTGATGAGCTAATATAGACGATGTTTTAAACACAGTTCATTCTCAGAGTTGGTATATGTTAGTAAACTCCTTCATTTTTCTTATTTTTTTATTTTAATGGGGGAAAATCATCGAATGGCTGCTCCCGTCTAGGTGAGGAGGAAAGGAGTGTCAGACTCTTACTGACTAAAAACCACCCCGTTCCTTCTCCTGCACGTCGAGCCGGAGCCCCGGTTACCCGTTAGGTTCTTCGCGACATTTTTCTTAACATTAAGACGAAAATATTTAGGATAATTAGTTATTTATTGAAATTACAAAATTAGTAAAATTTACATGGAGTTTATTAAAAATAGCAGAAACAAAACATAACATCACGCCTTTTATCCCCGAAGGGGTAACCAGAGGTGCACTTAACGCCACCGTACAATGTAAAACTCACTTTGCAATATTATATTATTATGAGTCCCATGCAATAGAGGGTAAGCCTATTGTCATATACCGGGCACAACTCCAAACTCTGATGCTACAACTGAAAAACCCAGTAATACTTTGCCCGACCTGGGAATCGAACCCGAGACCCTTTGCCTACCAGTTGCACATGCGACCACTCGGCCAATGAGGCAGTATTTTTATCTACTAAAACGTACAATAGGGTAGATGCCTTTTATTTTAATGTCCGTCTGGTAGATTATTTTAAATCATTACACACGTTTTTTTTTATTTTCTTACAGAAACGAAAACTACCGACGATGTATTGATTTGAAATATCGCGTGACGTCACTTCTATGTACACATTATACGTAGAAATGAAGTTTTAGCCTCCAGTCCTAAACTTTGATTCGTTTTATCTAAGTATTGTTTTATTATACGACAAAATAAAAAAACGCGTCTAATATTTTTTTATTACATAACTGACGGACTAATTAGATTTTTAATTTTCATACCCTGTCATCATCCCTATTATTCATAGTAGGTACTTGGTATGGTAATAGAATAACCTCTACTGGCCAGTCATTACGTCACTGAATCTTATTTTTATAATAACTATCGTGAGACATACTAAATTAAGTAAAATCGCGGGTTACTCACGTGAATATACTGAGAAAAGCTCTACTAGTTTCGAACCACAGAGGGGTTCTTCCTCATGAGCAGCGTGCGCGGTCGCATGAATGAATCTTATTTATTTTGAGTAAAACCTACTTATATAGATATTATCTTATACAGGTACTGATTCGAGTACACGCCAATTACTTATATTTAATCTAACAATAACAAACTTACCATTTCTATTTAAAGTACGTATAAATAATAAATCAGTGATCACTATCCGAACATACCTACTTACTTTATTCAAATATTTATATAACCATGTATAGGTAATAGATACAAGTAAAATATTTATTTTTAGTTTTAGTTTTACATACATAATATCACACCTTTTATCTAGGTAGGGGTAGGCAGAGGTGCAAATTACGGCATTTAATGCCGCTGTACAATGTAACTCCCACTTTTCACTATTTATGTTATGAGTCCCATGTAATAGGATAGGGTTAGCCTATTGTTATACATATAGATACCGGGCAGAATTTCAGATTCCTTGCTACTACTGAGATTTTTTTAAAACCCAGTAGGTAATATTTTGTCCGACCTGGGAATCAAACCCGAGACCCCTTGCCCGATAGTCGTACTTGCGACCACTCGGCCAATAAGACAGTTTTAGTTTTAATGGTGTTTATATTTAGAGCACTTAAAACTATAGTTAGCGGGCGACGCATTCTAATTCTATGCCAGTATTTTGTAAAACTATTTTACTCTGTACGTATACATTGATGGATTACAAAGGAGATATTTGAATGGATTTCCCGAAATGGGGTAATGTAATGTAAAATTGATAGTGAGCCACTGATTTTTTTGTTGTTTTTTGTGTAAGCAAAAATACCACAGAAATCACCAAATTGGTACCTAGGTAAATAACCACCTTTACCTAATAGGATTTTTTTAAGGGGGGATAATCATCAAATGACTGCTCCCGCCTGGGTGAGGCGGAAGGGAGTGTCAGACTCTTACTGACTAAAACCACCCCGTTCCTTCTCCTGCACGTCGAGCCGGAGCCCCGGCAACCCGTTAGGTTAACCGCGACTTAGGTTCTATTGGTCCAATTTTGAATACATTCCTGGATTATTTCATTTAGCAATTACACCTTGTTCATAGATATCGCCACATTTTACTACATGCATATGAATATTATGCACGTACCAAAATAACATTATTTCAATTTTAATTTGTCTGTCTGTATGTCTGTTTGTTTGTACTGGCAAATCTCTGGAATGGGTGGACCGGTTTAGCAAGACTTTTATTGCCAGGTATGTGAATTATTCATATTCTACGCCGACGAAGTCGCGGGCAAAAGCTAGTCTATTGTAAATATAAACCTGAGGAACTTCTAACCTAATAAGTAGAAACTTAAGCTGGAAGAATCTGTTGATAAAATCATCAATACGTTCCTAACAAGCCTGTCACCTATCTATCGGTGCCAACACTTACTAACTGCAAAAAAATAACACATTTTAAAAACAAAAAACATTTATTTTCTCCTTTAATTACTTCATCAACGATGTGTGAGGTGACGCAAAAAAATGGCGCCGAGAGTTCGCGCCAAAAAGTCGTTAAGCACAGATAAAATAGCGACACAGATAACATTATCTTTAGGAGCAGATGTTAGGCAGAATGGATTTTTTTAAACTATTTTTGGTATTTCCTTTCTCTTTTATTAGGGATATAAGTGTAAGTAGTTGTATTTTTAAAATAAGTTCATATTTAGATCTGTCAACCCTTATGTGGAACAGCAATCTTTTTATATCATTTGGATTATCGAATAGAGAGTGCATAGCTAAGTAGAAGCTCAGTTTTAATCAATTCTTTGCTGTAGATTTTCACACTGTTTTATCCTTAAATCTAATTAGACCGTTCATAAATTCAAACTACCTAAATAGGTACATTTTTCAAATTAGTTTTTACCAACACCAACGAAACAGATACACCTATATCTAAAACATCCCGAATGTCGTTCAAAATTATCTCCCCAAAATCCAGATTCGCAATCGATCCATCAGTTCCCGAGATGAGTGCACAAGGCAAACACATTAACATCCTTACACAAAGAGAATTAATATTCCCCAGTCTCGATACTTTTCCACAGGAACCGGATACGGGTGTCGGGAGGAAACGGAAACGAACGGAAGCGGCTGACCGGCCGGAAGTGACGTGGACTTCTTATTGATTGCGGCTAATTCATTTTATTGTTTTGAGTGAGTTGTGAGTGTTTATCTCAATTGATGTAGATGGAGAATATAAGTACCTAAGTAGTTGCCGTTCTAGATACCTTTCTTTCTGTTTGGGGCACTCTAGGATTTCTTCCTGTGTCGTGTCCTCGTTGGTATCTTTACAAGCACATAAATTCACAGACACCCAGACCAAAAGCAACAATTCGCCATCAAACTATAAAGTTTGGCGAGTTTAGATTTAAAGCCACTCCTTTGTAAAATTCTTCTAAATAAATTTATTAACAAGAAAAAAATTAGAGGGTCACATTAAAAGCCGTTTCGTGTGACAATCGAACCCGTGATACGTTGCGCTACGCTAATTGAGTGGGTCGAGAAATATCTACCGTGTGAACTATCAAAGTGTGTTTTGTTTTGTTTTAAGAAAAACTGTATTAATTCAAAACGTCCTGTAAGGTAAGTACTCATAGATATAATAAAGAAGTATTTCTGTGAAGGTACTAGTCGTGGTGGCCTGGAGGTTTAAGACTCATAATATCTAACTATGAGTTTGAAATCGCTAACCCCCATTGAGCAAGTGCTCAAACCTTCTCCGTGTGAGAAAAGGTCTGTGGTCAGCAGTGGGCTTATAGGCTGTTGATGTAATGTGTGTGTGTAATGTAAGGTACTGACTCCAATGTCTGACGCCTGTCTTCTCTGGAAAAAGGGATAGCTAAGTTATTACCTTACGCAGATTCTTGGTCCTCGACTAGAAGTTATCCCTTTGACATACTCCTGTCACCGCGGGCGCCGCTCGTGTGCGGGCTGTACTTTTTTGCTCGTAAATGCCCCACATTCCTTTACAATGATAATGCTAATTGGTTGATGACTTCTCAGTTCGGATGCTGTTATATATTTGAGGGTTTTTAAAAGGGCATGGTTAAATTCTGGTATTTTAATACTTTGATCATAATTTCAAAGGGTAAAGTGGACGATAGTGAATCGTAAAAAAAAATATGAGATATATAAAATAATGAGATTCGAAATAATACTTCGAGTAGGTACAATGGATATTCTCCTCTTCCCCCTGTATG